AATGGAAAGGAGCTCGGGCTGCCACGGATAAAGATTGGGGTAAGCCGGATATTAATTCAGTTTGGCCGGTTACAGCCCGACCATTAAGTTGAGATAGATTGAATTCACTGCAAGCAGGAAGAAGATTGAGGGCGGCGGCCTCACGGAGTAACAGGCGTTGGGCAAATCGAGAGCTAGCTGCATCCAGAGCGTTAGTACAGGCAAGAATGCTCGCCATGGTGCGAGCGGTTGGTTCCATCTCTTGATTGACGCCGAGGTGCAGCCAAGTGGAAGCGGCAACGGGCGATTCGTGCATCCATCGTGTCCACATGATATCTATATCAGTGGATTTGGTAGGCTGAAGTAGACTGTTGGCGCGGGCAAGCCAATTTGCAAGGTTATCGTCAAACAAAACGCTCGGCTGCCGACTAAGCGATCCTGTGTCACTAGCACAACAGCCAAAAAGACTGGAAGATTCGGCAATTGCCGAGGTAATTAGCCTGCTATGGTTGACGATACTAGAAAGGCAAGAAGTAGATCTAGCCAGGTCGCCGTTGGTCAAAGATAAGGTGGCCGTGAAAAGCAGACGATTTAAATCCCGATTTAAGCAGTTTCGTTTCCAGCTATTCAGCGAAGGCAATTCGTCTGGATACGAATCGCAATGAGGATCAGATTCTTCCCAACTAGATTCGGACGAAGGATTAGAAATAAGTAGCAATTAACATATCAAGCAATCCAAAGTAAGAAATCAAAGGTAAGATGGTGTACATATAATTACGTGGGGATTTTCAAGCAAAAGCTTTAATGGCCAGTAAAGGGTTCATCATTATAAAAGAAAATGGTTCGCAAACGGCATCTGGGTTGCTTTTATTTTTAATATAAAACATGGCTTAATAGCGAAACTGTGATGAAGCAAAGCGCTTCTTACCTTCAGCCTTGTGGGGACCAAACGATAAAGAATATGAAAGCCTATCGGAAAATAAAGTGAGCGCATATGGCAATCAAGCTATCCTCTCCGTTGATTATAGTAAGCTAAAGACCACTAAATAACAAGACAACTTCTGAGAGCAGTTTATAAATGAGATATCACCAGTCCTGAAAGTAAATTGGAAAAATTATCCGAAGTTTTTACATCAAGGGCTCATTTAGTAGTTAACAAAGATATAACGTAAGTAGTGCCGAGTCAAGAAATGGCAAAAGAAAATGTTTAAAGGTCGTATGAAAATTGAGAAATTAAATATAATTTAAAAGATTCTTATATTCTTTTTATATCATAC